ATTTGTCGTGGGTGGAACAAACTAGAGGACTCTGCCACAGGTACTTTTTAATGGGAAAAGTTATTACGAATTTTCGAGATTCCGTGGAATAACCATCCTCTGGATATGAAACAAAAGCAGGATGACACGTGATAGAGATACCTGCACCCATACCTCCCATCATAAGCTCTAGATGCATTCCAAGTGATTTACCCCATTATAAACATGGGCGCATGAGGAGTGAGAATGACTGCAGCGTCATTTTTGCATTTTTTTGTGAAAAAAACTAAAAGTACATGCCACGGGAAATCGATGCGTAAACAGCATACGCACAAAATTTTAGCGCATTAATAATTCAATCAAACTTGATGGCAATTAATCGAAACACAGGCATCCAATTTGTGTAGAATCCGATGCTTGATTAGGAGCTGAGTTTTGGGTTTAAAGTTCCAAAAGAAGGCAACTGAATTTAAGCAGCAATAGCCAATTACGCTTCAATGTTCATCAAGATGGACAATTGACACGTGACAGTTTTGTCAATATTGACAATATTGACGATACATGTCATACATACTGAGCACAAGGCGGTGTCACTCGCGTTCAGAAGGTCACCGAAAATTAAGAGAACATTGGTGTGACAACATTCTGGCGGTTTGGGGAATAATATGTCCTGGTTTATCTTTTTTTCTGGATGACCAAGTGATTGTCAAAATGGCATTTGGAACCATTCGATGTAATAGGATTGGCAAGTCGTATCCCGCACCCACATCTCCTCAATTCCTTTGAATTCAAATCTTACGTGGTTTTTAATTTTAAGGCTAGATTAATTCGTTAGATTGAGAGATTGGTAATGGTCGGAAAAGACCACTAAGTTGGCTTTTGGTCTGATGCGCAAGATAAGGCACGTTAAACTATCCAAGCTCAATTTGTTTTCAGACAACCTATACAATGTATTTTAACATATTCTAAAGCAAACAAATGCTGCCTGATGCCGCTTCGACAATTGAATTTCGTCTGCCGCCACACGGACCAAATCCGTTTCACGTATGAAGGTTTCTGTCGCCCATCGGTTTCAACTCAATGTCTTCATTAATCAACATCAGAATAGTCCATTCACTTCAGCCTCCTGAGTACGTTGTCTAAAATAAATTTTGTAATGTAAGAAGAGGAAAGTTTCAGTCATGACACATTTAGTAAACCAAACACCATTTTGCTTGTCTTTCTTCGGTATAAATTTCATAGTCATATTTAGCTCCCTTTCTAACACACCTGCGGTTTACTTTGGTTTTATAACCAGGGCCCTTAACAATCATCGCTAGTATCAAAAACGACTTGACGGGGGCTCATCAAATGAGAAACTCCATGGTATACGGTTGAACCGCCTCGCGCAATCACACACTTCTGAAGATTTTTCCATAATTAATAATGATAAGTACTGCCAAATTTTTATTGCACCTTCTTTGAAGTACCTTTCAACACAAATCTGATGCTCCAGCTAACAGCTCGAGATTGAAATGTAATTATTTGTCGCTTATTCCCTGAAGAGAAAGTGTAGTTTCGCCGGCGATACAAGTTATCTGCTTGCTTCGACATGCACAGCAGCCTAAAAAATTATGTTCCTTCCAGCCTACACAAGATTCCTACAAGACCGAATGTATACTTTGAAGAGTAATGTTAGGAGGTCAAAAATAGCTAGTAAACCATGGCCAGCCATATTTTTTAGATGTAAATACATAATCTGACACAACCCAATTCACGGAGTGAATGGATAGTTACCATCCATACTTCAGTCATAAAGCCAGTATGCACCCATAATCAACACTATCTTTGATAAGAGTTTTTTGTTAGAGTAAACCACAAGACTACTGAACCAAATTTCGGTATTTTTTAGACTTTTTAGAACTACAACCGGAATTTCAGCGTAGCTGACTCATTCCTGCTTGAGTAAGCTTGAAGGGATTTTCTCATCTGAATGTCTCCAATTACAACAGAGGATTACTTGGTAATAAATTTCAAATTAGGTGGTAACCTTTTATACTCGTCATCATCTTGATATTCAAAATGTGCCTATAAATAATTACAAATAGCAGCTGCCCATTTTTCCAAAATAAAATATGCTGATTATAATATTTTTTTTCTGGGATCAAGAGCATGTAAGAATCATTTATCCTTAGTTTTACCCATACCTAGTCTATTAATCATTATCAACAACACTATAAAGCTGATAATGCGGATGACTTACACGCCACATATTCCTACGACATAGTGAAGACATTAGATTAAGGAACACGTCATTGAGTTTCGTAATTTTCGTGATGTTCCGTTCCCTACTGACGTGAAATTAAAAACATAGTGAGATAATTTTTGGCCTAAATTTGGAGGTTTTTGCAGCTGCACCAGGGAACTTATAGACCTTTCGAAAGTAGTGGCAAACGATAATGGAGAATTAACATTCAATTAAATCAAATATTACTAAGTTAAGATCAAATCTTTTACCATGAAATGAACAACCGACCAAGGAAACAGTGGTAACATCAACGATGGTCTAGCATATTCAGAATTTAAGTAATGAGCTTTATAAAACGGTATCCCACATAAGTTAGGATTAAATGTGGATGACCACAGTTATTGAAAATGACTCAAGTGCAAACCTTAAATGAAGTTTTGCCTTAATATTTTTAGTAATTATCGAAAGCTATAGAAATTTGTACCTCTGAAACCAAGTATTGACTAATTAATTGTCTAATGGCTCTGCCGACTACAACGCCCTATAATGGAGCATTGGATAAACGCAAATTGTGCTTTGTAAAATCGAAACTTTAAAAAAAAGTATTAAACGTAACCCTGGCCTTTTTATTATTTAGCGGAATCCGAAGGTCTATTTATGTGGGGAAAGTTAACACCAGCGCATAACTAAAGCCATCATGACTGAGCTGCGTTCTAACTGTTCAATCGATTAAATGACGGATGTTCACTTCATCCCGATTGAAATTATTAGGCGATAACGATTAGAGGTCATAGTAAATTAATCGAGTTTCACATTTTCGCCAGTACCGTGACAGCAAAGTGACGGTTAGTTAAGTCTTGCACATTTTTTTCTTTCATAACCTTGGACCTCCCTTTAAAGTTTTAAAACGGTTTCAACATACCACAGCTCATGTTTAGTCAACACATGGACATAAACTTTGTTCCTAGCCACGCCGGACAAAAAAATTAAAAGCGTCAACTGAACTAAACGCTTACTATTGCTGCATGGATATGTTTACAGTAGATGCAAATGCGCTGGATCATCTTAGGCCCAAGACTATATGCTAACAGCATGAAAACTAAAATTTTCTATCAACAATGTTAAGATTGCAGCTAAATTGGTTTTAGTGCTTTATTTTGAAACTGTTTTACTTTGCAGAATTCCATATCTGCACAACAGTAATTACATGGGCAAAGTGGTAAATTACAGGTTTTTACAGTGCTTAAAAAGTTTCTGCCTGCGAATTTATTTCACATTTGACCATATGGATTACTTAGGTTATCCGCATACAATAAACCAGACGGAAAATTTTCTACTTATATAATTTTCTAGAGACCCTGTTTTAAAAGTCTTCTCGTAGACGTTTGTCAATGGAAAACACACGCTATATTTCATACATGATGTTAAAGCATTGAATTAAGAAGGTAAATATAAGGATCGACGTTCTACCCTCTCCAATTGCGTTTAAGCAGTATCAGTCAGGCCAGAGGGCGGTCCTGTTCAGCAGTTTATCACCTTAGGCTCATTTACGTTAGTGTTTCCGACTTTTACCTCCCTAGCTACGCTTTTTTCCTATTTGTCGTGGTTTTATTCAGCTGCCATTGTTTCTATCATTGTATTCCATAGAAAATATTTTATTTACAGTCTTGGAGTGGTTGCTCGTTAAATTAATGAGACAATCCAGATGTTACTTGAATTTTAATCTTGTACAGTTATTATTATAATAACCACTCGGAAATATAAAGTGCAAGCTAAATTAGAGAAAATTCGGGAATCCATATAAGTGTGCCAATGTTAGTGCTTTTGTCTGATCTCATCAGTAAACCAAAGCAAGCTTAGCCATACGCTGTCTCATTACGCGTTGTTTTTAAGGCAGAAAATTTCATGGGCATATTCCCGTTGTTTAACACATAATTCTGTGCCTACGCTTTTGTCACGACTTAGTTTCCAGGGCAGTGCAATAATCTGGGTACTAAGCATTTTTCATATATTCAAAAAAACCGTAAATACGCAAATACATTTAGATGGAATGATGGTGCATGCTGTTTATACCCTGCAAAGAAATGAAACAACAAATGCAACGTGCAAGTTTGTTTGGAGCCCAGCGGAATTTAGTGGAGATTGCAAAATATACTTGTTCCATTCAAGCGAAATCTTGTGTGCAATGCCGACAAAAGGAAATAACCAACGACAGTTAAAAATTCACTTTTGTAAAGGGTTTCCTTAGGGAACTTTGTTTTTTTCTAGTCTTAAGAAAATGGTCATATACACGGGAAGTTTACAAAATAGAACACTAATATTTGTGTAGTAACCACGTTTTTAAAAGGAGAACCTATATTACCAAAGTGCCAGGCTATCGTCATGAATATTAGAACCTACCATAAAATGTTGTTGCTTAAAAATGACAGCAAGTTTGACTTGAATTAAGAGGAATGTTTTCATAACCCAATTATACCGGAGTTAGTTGGGTCGCTTCTTCAAAATCCATTATCTAATAAAATGCATCGCTTTTGACCTTAAACATTCAAGTGTGCTGAGAACCCGATTACAGCTTTCTTATGCTAGTATTGGTTTCAAATGTACCCAAGTGAATCCAAAGAATCATCTGCTTTAAGTAATGCGTCCACGGGCACATCCAAAACACAAAGTAAGTACTGTGTCTTAGGACTTAGCACTTACTACTTTCAAAAGACTTGTAACTTGGAAGATAAATTTGCCCTAAATGTTGTAGATTATAGTAAAGCCTGGTTTGTATTCTTTTGTAGACTAAAATATGTTCAATCTTAATGATCTAGCAACACTTCTTGGGCAGCAGCAGCAGCTGCTAAGAAGTCCCCCTCAGGCGGCGCCTGATCTTCCTGAAATTACCAGACTGATGATGCTTCCTGATGACCTAGTTGGTTGCGTTATCGGACGCGGAGGCTCAAAAATTAATTCAATTCGACGGGTAAGAAGCAAACTTTAACAAGGAAGAGATGGGAATGCATATTAAACTGGGCCCTGGTAGCTGTAAAATATCACAAATTTGTTTTGAGTAAATACTTCAAATGCACAACTGATAGAAGACTTTGTCCTTAACGTCTTCTGTAACCTTCGAATTTTGACGCTTTTGTCGGTAGTCTGCTACCTTAAGGGTGTGGGTAAGTCATTTTTCCTTGAATCGGGCTTCAAAAGCAGCTTTTTAATAAGCAAATATATCACACGAAATGCCTAATAAGTTTTGGTTTTCCGAGTCGTTTTTTGCCACCTCACAGATCTCTTCTACAAGAAAACACCCTCTATTTGTATTTTCAGGAATCTCAGGCATTCATAAAAATAGCTGACGCTGAGGAAGGCTCCAATCTACGCAGAATCACGATCAAAGGAAATCCGGATTCAGTTCGATCAGCTGTAGATATGATTAATTACACGTAAGTTTAGTAACTTAAGAGGGGAAAGCCATAAAAGGCTGTCTCGAGCACTTACTTGGTCTTTGCGTAGTGCCTGGAAATGAATCTTAATTTTCGATCAGCGTTAAGAGGACAATTCCCCTAAAAGTGTCTTATACACAGAAAATATAAATGAAAGTTTTTGTGACGCTTTAACAGGTCATTTTTTAGGTTTCTAGCTTCTTGCTTGTCTCATGACTTCTAAAGGTCGTAATGGTTACATTGTGGGCCCCGACTTGTTGGCTTAAACCGCTGCGTGGCATTCAGTCCGATTACGCTAACCTGAGTACCCGCGAAGAAAAGGCCGGAGAGGGCGAGGCACAACCGTTTACTAGACAAATCAAAGCAGTTGTGTTTGCTGACTCAGATACAGTTGAGTGGACTAGTAAAAATGCAGACGTCTGAATGGTCACACGGATAGAGCGGGTGGTGGTGGTACATACAGGGGTGTGAATGAGTAGGCGGTCACAGTGACTGACGGGCATGCCGTGAAAAGGAGGACGTGTGTGTGAAGCTGCGACGACCGGGTTATTGGACGTGAATCAACACGATTCACTACAGTTTGTTAAAATAAATCCAAAGAACCCCTTCCAGACGGACGTGTTAAAGTCTCAGAATTGTGAGATGTCACGGTTGTTGATGCCATGAGGGTCCAACCAGCACACAAAGGGACGATGAAGAACTTTTAGTTATTTAGTACTTTTTAAACTGGCATTTCAGCTGCAAACATATCGCCCAAACATTAATCTGTTACCTTTGACAGACAAATTCTGAGTCATCTTTTGATCATTATAGCCACATTCGTATACTACCTGTGTTTCCCTATTTGCTGATCCTGCTCCAATCATTTTTAAGTCATTGTGTGAAATGTTATATGACAGTGACTTGTAACCGTTCCTGGTCAAAAACAACAGTAAAGTCTATGTCAGAAGGTGGATATGGTGATCCTTTTCTTTCTTTTGCATAACAGGGTGAACCTCCACCAACAAATTGTTGCAATGAACCTTGCAATTGACCTTGTTTCCTAGAATCATTCGGAGATGCCAACGATTCCAAAAGGGACAGTTCGGCAAATACCCCATTTCCATTTCCGATACAACGATATTATCCATGCTTTTTTTAAACGTATTATGTGCTCTGTTGTTATACCTTATTGACAGTACTCCGAATTTGTCTTCATTTCTCATAGACCGAATAAAGTGTTATTTCTGTTTTCCCAGGATCGATAAAGTTCCCTGCAGTAGACGACGTTGTTTGATGGCTACCTGATGTTTCTTCAAGCACATAAAACAAAAACCACAAAAGCTTCTTAATAAACATGTTTTAAAAGCTCTAACCCAGAAAGCAATAATTTACTAATGTCGAGTGGCATCTACCCCAGATTGCCGTGGAAATGAACATCGTTGTATTCTTTGGACTCTAATCATTATGTCATCACTTCGTTAACGAGCTTTTATCCAACCTTTTCAATGCTTAAGTTTTACTGAAAATTGCCCACGAGTCAGGATCAACTGGGATAAATGCGAAGACTTAGTGCGTGTTGTGACCTTGTACATTTGATTAGGCCACTAAGATGTAAATCAGTTTTTGTTATCTGGTCATGGCGATAAGGCGGGTTGATTGATTTAATTAGTCTAACTTAATCCTGTTCTTTTGCTTACTCCGTTGAGAGATGCACTTAGCTAATGTAACTATGTGTCCTTAGAAAAACGACCCTAATAACTATTTACATATTATAAAAGTAGAAAGCAATAATTTGCTTCTTAACAATTTTTTTCAAAAAACTTCACATTTATAAATCGCTCGTATAAATTCGGAAGAAGCGATAACCAGAGATTGCCCCGACATTAGTGGAGAATTTCGCATCTTTCAGATCTTCGGGCTGGAGCGGAGACAAATATGCACTCTGGGCTGAGTCACTTTCGTTTACCTGACTTGATTTAGCCAAATTGATTCTTTTAAGTTTTTTTTAAATCCAGCTTTTTTAATGTGAAAATCATCACCATTTACAAAATGATGGAGACACCAACGAACTGCCCCCCGGACACATCGCGAAAGCCTGAATTTGTGGGAAGATTACTAAAAAAGTATTTACAAAATGCGTTTTAAGATTTAGGTCAATTTTCAACTTTTTAAATGATTTTATATATGACTAACGGAAGTATAAAAAATGATCAACTGGTCATCTGAAAGTGGCCTATTCGTGTGCATGACATCTTCCAGAATCTAAAATATCTAGTCTTGAAGGTGTTTACCGCTGCATTTCTAAGTATAAACAAGTAATGGATTTCGTTTTATTCACCGAGTTATGTTAATTTTGAAAATAAGCAGGTTACTTGGCTGTTGGAAAAAAGGATTTGATTGCCAATTTTTCTAAAGAAGGCACAGAAGCCTTAGATTGTCTCACCAATTACAAATAAACATAAGATTTCGCCGTGCTTTTGTTTTACCAAATTTGCCCCATAGAAAATAAAACAACGTAAACAGCAACGGCATTCCCACTGCTTTACCAGTTATTCCACAAGGTTAACGTGCGCGAAACTAAAGACGCAAATGTTAAGTGGTTCAAAGAAGGCCTTAAAAATGACCTCCTTGAAATCATGTAAATAGACGATAAATGGTGTTTTACTAAAGTAAAAATAATGTGCGTTTAGGGTTTTGATAAGAATGTTGCGCCGTACATTACAAATTTTTGCTTTGGAGGCATTTCTGGCCTGGCAAAGATGAAACTACTGATAATAACAAAGCTAAGCTAACGGCCTTGCCCATTACCTCGATTCTTGTGAGCCACATTTGAAGACCTTAAGAAGTTAAATTACATGTAAGCTAGGTCTGTTGGATACTCTGAATAAAATTCCAGAGTGTCATCATTTAGATATCTTCAATTAAGGTCATGTTCTACCTCCCACAAAATTGAAGACCACATTGTTCCATTGACTCAATTTAAGTCTAAAAAATCGCTGTAGCAGTCGTTATGCTTAGGTTCATAAAATATCTCATGAGTCTGCAACTTGTTTTTAGTCGTTATGCATTAGAATTGTCTAATTGCTATGAAATATAACCCAAACAGCTATTAAAACACACACTTAAAAAACACGAAACTTTTAGGATGCAAGATAAATATCATAATCATGGTACTAAGTCTCGAGGCGATCCCGGGGGCTTCTTTCGGCTTAATTAACTTAATTTTGACTGAGATTATGAAAATCGAGATCAAGGGTTCTAATCTCTAAAGATTTAAGCAATACCAGCCGTGCACGAAAATTTATGTTATGCTCTCTAAGCCAGCAAAAAATTACCCGCACCGCTATACATTTTTGACCTCAATCAATATTTTTAGCCATTTTTGCCTTTATCTACCGCCAAGGACACGTTGAATAACGGTGACAACAGGTTTGCAGTGCAGATCGGCGGCTTTACTTACAATTTAATAGTTGAAATGCGCAATAATTCTTGATTTTTATTGACAGCGTTGGATAACGTCAATTGTTTATTGTGAATAAGTTCAAAGAAAGTCCATTTATAAACACGGGAAATAATGAATAACGGGTTGACCAGCTTAGCGCGATTTTGACCATAAATTTAGGCATTGCTTAGGAGAACTAGCCATTTTTAGTGAATCCTCGGCAAGAGAGTATCAACTGCATTTGGGAATTTCACCACGCAAATCCTAACTTTGGTGGAGAAAGTGTCAGAAGCATGGGGAGCCGAGTGTGTCTGCTCCAAACCAAAGCTGCTCCTGTTGGCTCCACATTAAAGTTGCATTACCCACAATCCCGGATGCCGGTTGCTGGTGCTAAAGCATTTCTGTTTCCAGCCTGCTAAGCTGACTAAAATTACAAAAAGTCTCACCTCCGTCATTTTAAAAATAATGACGATCAAGAATAAAGATTTATGTATTTTTTACAGAAAGGTTTAGATGATTTCAGGAGTCGACGTGGAGGTCTGTAATGAGAATCTAGAGTTAGTAGGAAATTTTTAATGCTGAGAATATGATGTTGATGAAAGCAACATACCTTTCGACACTGAAGACTAAAACGAGAATACGTTTTGAGAAAGTTTGCGCGGCATAATTAATGTTAAAATCTTCGCCTAACGACAGGTCAGACAAATTTGAATGCATTTCAAAGGGAAATAGTTATCTGAAGATCTAAAAGCTATGAGATTTAGTTGCCTCGTTTCGAATACCAGGTTTGAACCCAGGAGGTTTTCAAAACTTTTTTTGCCAAAAAAATTGAATCCAAATAAATGCCTTGTGGCGAATAAAAAAATCCGCTGACCATAATATGGGTACGGCGTTATTTTGATTAGGGTTTAACTCGAATAGATGTCACGTATTCAAGCAGTACTCATCCATAATGAATTCAGTGGTGAAGAAACTTGTCTTATTTTGGTAGCATTTTGCAGTGGTGTTCGGTCCAAGTAGTTTGAATTTGAAGTCGCCCATCCCATGAATAAGAATGTAATTAGGTGTTAAATCGTTTTGTTAATTGAATAACAGACACTGATAATCAGTTCCGTTTGCAGCCCGAATCAGGTGGTGTAATTTCAACAATAAAGAGTACCTTGGTGAATAAATTCACATCCTGTTAGCAGATTCAATTATATGAGAAAAATTCCGAATACACAAAGCCTCATTGGCACTGAAGCAAAATTATGACTATTGTTTTCGTATATAACGTCTTATTATCACACAGTTTGAGGACAGCAAAGCAGATTTGAGGTGGCTGAGGGAAAATTAACCGTATTTAAGGACACACATCAACTTCTAGTCAAAATGATGCTTCGTTTGGGAAGAGGGATTTCTTGTTGCTGATACCTAGTAGTGGTGTACCACCAAATTGTAGTACACATTCCATGTCCGTTGTACGCCGTCACAGACCCTACTAGTTTGTTAGAAGCTCATAACGCTTGTTACAGCACAATTTGGGGTGCCAATTGCGGCTGTCTATAGAAATTCCAAAAATCAAAATATAAATCGTTACA